TTTTTTTTTTTTTAGGTTCTGCCTCTGTCGAGCCCCGCGGCCTCGGCCAGGGGGGGCCGAACAATGGCCCCAAGACGGCCCCAAGAGAGCTCCAAGAGGGCCTCAAGAGGCTCCCAAGAGATCCCCAAGGGGGCCCGAAGAGGCGGTGTGGGGACTGGGCTGTTTGGGTGTGGGGGCTGGGCTGGCCCCAAGACGGCCCAAGAGTCCCAAAACGGCCCTCAAGAGGGCCCCTGAGAGAGCTTCAGGACGCGAACAACAATTTTTTGTTCCTTAAGGTTTTTCAAGGTTTTTGGGGTTGTCGCCTTTTCGGGCCCAGAAGGGCCTCAGACGGCCCAAGAGATCCCAGATATCGTCCCCAGACAGCCCCAGAGGCCCTCAAAGAACCCGAAAATGGTCCAAGAGTGCCCCCCAGACGGACCCAGAGGGCCCCGCAACGGCGCAACGGCCCAAGAGGGCCCCAAGACGGCCCCACGAGAGCTCCAAGACGACCCCACGAGGCTTCAAGAGGGCCCGAAGAGGCGGTGTAGGGACTGGGCTGCTTGGGTGTGGGGACTGGGCTGGCCCCAAGACGGCCCAAGAGTCCCAAAACGGTCCAAAAGGGCCACCAAAAGACTCCCAAGAAGCCCTAGAGACGCTCAATAACACCATGGCTCCCCACAGCGAGCGGTGACGTAGCAAGCTCTGAACACCACGGCTCCCGAGAGCGCGGTGACGTAAAGAGCTCTGAACAGCAAGGCTCCCAAGAGCGAGCGGCAACGTAACAGTCTCTGAACTCCAGGGCTCCCAACGGAGAGCGGTAACGCAATAAGCTCTTAACGCCAAGACTCCCCAGAGCGAAGGGTGCCATGCGCTCTCTCGGGCAAGCTCCTGCAGCGCTCCTTTCGTTCCCGTGCCGGCCCAGGTGACGGAAAGAGCAATGTACGCTGAGTTGGGCGTTTGCGCCTCCCTACGGGGAGTGCAGAGGGGGGGTGGGGGCGGAATTCTCCGGTTGATGGCCGCCAGGGGGCCGTTTCTCTTGTAGATTTTTTCGAGTGACGCGAGTGAAGCGGCTCGTGGGCGCCTTTCACGGCCCGTTTCCTTTTATTTTTGCGAGTGAAGCGGCTCAAGGGCCCTAAGACGGCCCAAGAGGGTATCAGAACGACCCAAAGACGGCCCCAAGAGAGCTTTACGGCTCCAGAGGCTCTCCAGGGCCCCCGAGACGGCCAGAGGAGGCCAACAACATTGATTTCCCTATTGTTTTTGAAAGGTTTTTCGGGTTCTCGCTCTTTTCGGGTCCAGAACGGCCGCAGACGGCCCACGAGGTCCCAAAGCTCGTCCCAAGACGACCCCAGAGGCCCCCCGAAGAGACAGAGAACGGTCCAAGAGGGCTCCCAGTCGGCCACAGAGGGACCCAAAACGGCCCCAAAGGGCTCCAAGACGGCCCAAGAGGGCCCCAAGACGGCCCCAAGAGAGCCCTAAGAGGGCCCAAAGAGGCTCCCAAGAGGGCCCCAATAGGCCCCCAAGAGAGCTCCGAGACGGCCAAAGGCTTCCAAGACGCCCCAAGACGGCCCAAAAGGGCCCCAAGACGGCCTAGAATTGCCCCTACAGGGCTCCCGAAGGGCTCCAAAAGGGCCCCAAGAAGACCCCGACGAGGCCCAAGAGACGCTCAAGAACACCATGGCTCCCATCAGCGAGCGGTGACGTAACAAGCTCTTGACACCAAGGCTCCCCAGAGCGCGGTGATATACACAGCTCGTCACACCAAGGCTCCCAGGAGCGAGCGGCAACGTAACAGTCTCTGAACTCCAGGGCTCCCAACGGAGAGCGGCGACATAACAAGCTCTTCACACCAAGGCTCCCAAGAGCGACGGGTGCCATGAGCCATCTCGAGCCAGTTCCTGAGGTGCTCTTTCCGTTCCCGTGCCGGCCCAGGTCGAATGGCTTTCGGCCCATCTTGCCACCTTGCTTGGGTTCTGGGTATGAAGCCTATTGGATGTTCGTTGGGATCTCGTGGGAGGCCTCTCGGGGGCCTCTTGGAGTCAGTTTTAATTTGAGGCCTCTCGGGGGCCGTTTGGGGCCTCTTGGGACCTCTTTTGGTTTTCTTGGGGGCCTCTTGGGCCTCTTGGGGGCCTCTTGGGGCCTCCTGGGGGCATCTGGGGGCCTTCTGGGGGCCTGTTGGGGTGGAAGGCTCGGATTTTCGGTTCGTGTTCCCTCTCTTGGGCCCTTTTTTGGGGGACCGTCTTGGGGCCCTCTTGGGCCGTCTTGGGCGCATATGCCGTTCGTTGAGAGTAGGTATTTCTGCATTCCCAGGTCCCACTCTGCTTCAAGCACCTTCCTTTTTAGATCATCGATGTGTGCTGGTTGTTTTTTGCTATTCAACGGGAGTGACCGAACCCAATCCACTTTCTCCGCCTTCCCACTTCACGCTTCCACCTACTTCTTCCGACTGGCGGGTACAGTCGAAACCGATCGTAAGGATGTGTCAATTTTCCTAAGGTTGCCCTTGCATCCTTGCCTTCTCGGTCCATCCCTGACTACTTTCGATGGCCCGCCGCGCTCGGAATTGCTTCAACACGGGGCCCGTCTCTCCTCTGTTTCGGCATCTGGTGGCCAGTCTCGGGCCCCGGCACCGTCCAAGAACGATCCTGAACGACTAGGGGGCTTCGGGGACGGGGTCGCGATGCCCAGGGGCCCACGTTATGAAAACAATGCGACGTCGGATGCGGAGGCTGTGAAGGCTGAGATTGCGCACCGAGGGCATCGTTGCAGAGCGCTCTGGGGCACTCGGGGCGTTCTGGAGCGCTGTGGAAGGGCCGCGGCGTCCAATACGTCCCGCAGACCCTCCGGCTCTCAGGCCTCCCCGCATGGATTTCGTATCCGGCGTGTTCGCGTCCTGTTTTCCTCTCACTTGCGTGTTGCCTGCCGCCCAGAGGATGCTGGCTTGCCTCTTTGGTGGCAGCTGCGCTGCTCCCCCTTCGGCAGGTCGCACTGACCGCTCGTCTTCCGGAGCACCGGCTTTTGCTGTCTGAGGCCTCCTGCGCACCCCTCGTCGCGAAGATTCTCTGCGTCCGAGGCCCCCCCCTCCTGGCGTTCCTCCTCCGCGGCCGCCCTCCTCTTCTTTTGGTTATCTATTGTTGGGGAAGGGGGGAATAAAAACACACAGACACAATGATTCGTCAACTCCCAGGAAATATGGACAAATATGGGAAGTGGGGGGGGGGGAAGACGAAAAGTCCAAATATGGGGAATCCTGGGATTTGTGTGTATTGATTTGTGTGTCCCAGGGCCCCTTCAATTGTGCCTCTTCCCCAGCGCGGCCCGCTGGCTTTCGGAACGCGTTGACGACCGCCCTCGCTGCCGACTCTCAAGTTGTCTCCTCTCCTCTTGCGGATTCTTCTCTCGCTCAGAACAGCTCAGTATCTTTTAATCAATCCCCATTCCCATCCCCATCCCCTTCGAGATCCCCATCAAATTACCCCCCAGCTGGGGATACACCCATCAACACCCGACGAGAGCAGCCTTTATCCCCATCTAGGGGGGTACAGCGGCCAGTGGGGCCCAGGCCACGCCGCTGGGGATGGGGATCGGTTAAACGATACTCATTCTCTTGCTCCGAAGAGCTCCTGCAATTGCCAAGATCCGCAGCAATGATCTTGTAATTTACCAAGGCTGCCCTTACATTCTTCCCTCTTCGGTCCATCCATAGCCACGTATCCTAGGAGTGTTTTTGTGCCGACACCGAAAACAATTGTGCACAAGTGAAGCCTGAGTCCCCAGACCAGGACCATGAGTGTCCACGAGCCCTACGGAACACAGCGTGAGACTGATCGAGCGCACCTGAAGCGCATCGAGGCATATTTATGATACAGCAGTGATCTATGTGGAAATAGGGTAGAGGAAGAAGAGGAGACATGATGAAGGGGAGGAGCGTCCACCTCGCCGAGGCCCCATCTCGCCGAGCCTGTTCGCTGATCGGCTTAGTTTGTGTCTTTCTGCTTGGTCTGGTTGCGCCCCGTCCCCACAAATGGCATGTTGCCTGACATGGGGGCCCCTGCGCACCAGGGTCGATGCAAGTGCAAAGGCGTGCTCGTGGGGCAACCGAGGCACATATCCTGACCTGTTTTTCCGCCTTTCACTCTGAGGCTGGGTCGATTGTCGAATGGTTACGCTGCCTCATGCTCGCTTCTCCCTAAGAAAAAGTGCCCTAGGAGTGTTTGCCCGACGCTGGTGCGATTGTTTCAACTCGGACATCGTGTGTCTTGTAATCTTTTTGTGTGGTTTCGGCCGACTCAGTTTTTTCCAGCCATCGTTTGGTGTTGGGTCTTCGTTTTGAGGAGAGCGCCCCGCGTTCTCTCCTCCCCCTCCCCCTCCGCCCTCCTCCCACAATTGCCTCTGCCCTCCGCATGTCCATCTCAAGACACCCCCCACATGTTCCGGGGCCTCATAGGGAGGACCCACGACGGCCAAAATGGCCGCGTTCACATACGGTTCCGTCTTCATTTCGGCACACCTCTTAAAAGTTGCGTGGCCCTATGCCATAGGGAGCTCGACCGAAGGCCCCAGTGGCAGCGCCCGCTTGCGATTCCACCCCCCCCATTCCGGCGCACCCCTGACGCTCTTTGCCGTCGGAGTTCTCCCTTCTTCTCTTTGGAGGGGCTTCTCATCCTGAGTCACTGTCTGACGGTCCTCAGTTAACGGGCGAAGAACGGTATAAAATAAACTTTTTCGCCGTCGGGGACACCTGCCCCTGGGCGGCTGGAAAGTTTATACCCTTACGGTGGCACCGTAGGGGTATAAACTTTCCAGCCGCCCAGGGGCAGGTGTCTCCGACGGCGAAAAAGTTTATTTTATACCGTTCTTCGCCCGTTAACTGAGGCCAGCCCCCAGAGCCCGACAACGGCGACATCCTTCAGCGCGGTTTCTTCGCGACGCCTGGGTCTGGTCAGAGCCCCGCAGCGTCAGGCCCGCGGGCACTCGGGAGCAGCTCCTGACTCGTGCCTTGGGGGACCCAGGAGGAGGAGGAGCAGGAGGAGCAGGAGGAGGAGCAGCAGGAGGAGGAGGACGAGGAGGAGGAGGAAGGGGAGGAGGAGGGGGAGGAGGAAGAGGAGGAAGAGGAGGAGGAGGAGGAGGAGGAGGAGGAGGAGAATTACCGGAGACCGGAGTCATCCCAGACCATTCTGGCGTCCAATCATTCCTGCATCAGAAAGGCGGTGGTCAGGGGTACAGTCGGCCCTGACTGGTAGGCCGACCATGCCAATCGAAGGTGCACTTGTGTCCTGTCTATCCCGACCTATGCAACCCGCATGTTCTCTGGTGTCCTGGGGCCACGTTGCCGTCGGAAGAGTATGATGTCCTCTTGGGTGTCCTTTTTAATCAAGTCCGACTGTAACTCCTGGTTCGTGCGTCCAGTGCCCAAACTGGAGCTACCCCAAACCAGCCCGAACGTCTAATCTGTTTTTTGGTCCGTGGAGCAGCGTGCCGAGAGGGTCCCGTAGAGGGCTCCAGTGGTTTCCGGAGGCTTAGGCAGTTTTTTGTTGATTTGCGTTTTGCAAGAATTGGGTTTCACCAGGGTTTCTCCAGGATCATAACATGTTTATGTTGAGTGTGTTGATACAGGACATCGAACGTTGTAAGGACTATGATAACTGATAAAAAGGTACTCTGGCCCAGTGAACTGCAGTTTTATGTTGTGGTGGCGTGTTTGCCGCAACCGATGGCGCACTTCCTGGAAGGCAGGCGGGCCATGAGATCGGTGTCTGCTGCAACCGCTGGCGCAACCTGTGCCAAATTCATCCACGCGCAGAGGGGGGTGGGGGGAGGGGGGAGGGCTTCTTAGAAGCACCCCTGCTTTTTAGAAGGCGCGGGCCTTATCTGTAGATACAGGGCCAGCGCCTTCTAAGAAGCAGGGTGCTTCTAAGAAGCTGTCCCCCTCCCCCCACCCCCTGGTGCGCGCCGCCAAGATAAGGTCTGCTTGATTTCGGAAGGGGCTCGATATCTCTTGGGCCCTTCTATGGGCTCTCTCCTCTCGCTCGTGCACCCAGGACGCCACCAAGGCCCAGGAGATGCTTCGCTCCTCACTCGCTGCCACCCTTGAGCAGAACCTTCGCTGCAATGTTTACGTCGGGCATGTCCCTCTAGTGCGGGGACGTTTTTTTTGGGGGGGTTGTTTTTTGTGTTTTGTATTTTGATGTTTCGTAGAAAATCCGCCTGTAGGAGGTCATGCCCGACCTGATGCCAGGTGCCTTGGCTGGCTGAGAGGCCTTGACCGCTCCTCGCCCCCGGCGAGGTGATCACCGCCGCCTACGAGGAGGTGCTCGCCGAGCTGTCTGGCGGGCGCCCCGCCGCCGCCCCCACGCCGGCGAGGCCGAGGAGCCCGCCCGTCGCCGTCGCCGTCGCCGTCGCCCTCGCCCATCGAGGACCGATCGGTCCTCGCCAGCTCCTCGAGGGCGCGCTGCTGCCGCTCCTCGCCGCCGCCGCCGCCGCCGCTCGAAGATCGCTGTGCGAGGTTCGAGTTTCTCGGCCCTCCCTGGGCCTCAAGGGGCATCCGGAGGTCTGAGGGGACGTCCGTCGTCGTCGTCGTCGTCGTCGTCGTCGTCGTCGTCGTCCCCAGGCCTGAAGGTGCAGTGAAATCGCGCCACAGTTTTTGTCGCAGTTCTCGGCGTCCTGGGCCCCACGGCCGTCGGACAATTGCTGGAGATGGAGAGCTCAAGAGTGCGGGATGGGGTTTGAGCAAAAGGTTCGGGAGCGAACCGGAAGGCCCAGCAGCGCAACACTTTCCACAACTCCTTGCCAAAACTGTTCGGGACACGGCACAGCGTTCCAGTGGCTACATGGACTGCATGTGAACATTCGAGTCTGATTTGCCAGCTCGTAAGGATGAATCGCACGCGTTCGCATGGAGCGCAACGAACACATGCTATGTGCCGCTCGACGCGCCGGCAAAACTGCAATCGGGCTTTGCGCGAATCTGGCGGCCAGTAGAGCTGCAACGTTGAACGAGCCAAACAGTTGCAACCTCGAGAGGCTACTGGCCAACCTTTTGCACACAGACGATTGCACCATTCGTTGAGTGTTTGGCAAAATGGCCACCCCGACGAGTGCAATCGTTTATCATGTGGTAAACACGCGCAGAAACTCACAGGGCATGCGTATTGCGCGAACGACTCCGTTGCAGCGAGCCGGGTGACAAGTCATTGCACTGCAACTGTTTCAGCTCCAAAGCGATTGCATGGAAATCGTTTGTGGTCTTACTTTCCATGACTGCGGTTTCGACCCAGGCAAGCCCCTGGGAGTGACCTAGAGTTTCGACCCAGGCAGGCCCCTGGGAGGGGCCTCTCCCCCTACAGGGGGAATATTCAAAAATAGTAAAACAATAGTCTGGAGACTTTTTTTTGAGTATTTTTTTGTTGTTGCCATTTTGGAGTATTTTTGGGGTGCTTTTGGTTTTTCGTCGAAAATCCCAATGTAGGGGGACACGCCCGACTTAAACCTAGAGCCGAGCCTGCTTGTTGCACTCCTCTCTCCCCCTCCGCCTCCGCTGTTAGAGCAGCACGGAGCTCGCGGCTCCTGTCGCAGGCACCCCGACCGGCGTCTGGGAGAGGCTGCCTGGCCCCTTTTTTCAGACATTCCTCCCGTGCTGAACTCTGAGAGAAGGGCTTCATCGCTCCGCCTCCTCCTCCCGGACCTCGTTTCGATCCCTCCGATCTGATTCGGTTCGACTTCGATGGCTTCCGACTTCGATCCGCTTCGACTCGGGGTTCCGATTCGGGCTCCGGTTTTTCACGGGACGCGTACGAGCCTGCCGACTTCTGCCGATTCGTTCTCTCCCGACTCGGCTGCCGATTTCCGCCGATCCAATTCATCTCGATCGCCGATCCGACTCGTCGATCCGATTCTGGGCTCTCCTGCCCTCCTCCCCTGCCGCCTCCTTCGCCCGTGGCCTGCAGTCGGGTCTGAGGGGTGGGGTCGGCCCCTGCAGGGGCAGGTGCCGTTGGCCCCGGCAGAGGCAGATGCCGTCCGTGCTTTTTGTCTGTCGCGCGTCGTGCCCGGAGCAGGGGCTGCCCTCGGAGCAGACGCTTGCGTCCCCTCGGGTGTCCTCTGCAGTTCGTCCCGTCCGTACCCGTCGGTCGTTGACAGTGGGCATTCCTGGGTTCCCGGCTCCCAATCTGCTTTCACTGCCTGCCTGCTGCAAGGGTCGAGCGGTTTTCCATCTTCCCGCCTCTTCAGGAGGCGGGCGGAAGCCCAGTCTACTTCTGACGCCTGCCTACTTCATGGATCTGCCTACTTCTTCCGACCGATGGGTACTTCCCACCGATGTGGGCCAGTGGCCGAAGGTCCTCGCCCTTGTCCTCCGCCGTCCTCCAGTGCACGACCTCGATGGGGGGTTGGGACGAGTAGTTCTTGAGCCCGCAGGGCGGCGAACACGGCGGGCCCCCAGGGGGAAGTTAGCACGCAGGTGTTGCAATCAGTGGGTGTTTGGGGATATCGCCTCGACGAGGGTCGGTACCAATCGTTGGGGCCACGTTTGCGTCCCCCGGGGGTTAATGTTCAAAGCGCCCTCCGAGGCAGATTGTCGACGACGTCTCGAGCGAAGCGGGCATCATTGAGACTCGGAGTCCCCTCGGAGGCTCACTTGTCGAGACGGTCCCCAACGACACTACCGTTTTTGAAATTCACAGCCCTCTCCAAAGCCGAGTTGTCGAGGACGTCCCGAGCGAAATGGCCATCTGAGGCCATGGCAGCACGTTTCGCTCGTATTTCAGCGTGCTTCTAAATCCTTTGGGCCCCCCCCATAGTGCGCCTTTGGCGCTGCCATTCTGATGCTCGCAGGCTACTGAATGTTCACGGTCTAGCGTGGCGTTGCGTGGACAGGCTCATTGCCCGTGCTCGCAGACAAGGTGCTGCGCTCGCAGCCTATTCTCGCACATGCAGGGTCTGGCAGTTTTTGCGCACGCGCGCGGGGTTCACTCGGTACTTTGGTGCTGGCAGGGCCGCGAGAGTTGTGGTAGTGGCATTGGTAGCAGAAGTAGGGGTAACAGTCGCAGCAATAAAAGTGATGCCAGGAGGAGGAGGAGGCGGAGGAAGAGGAGAATGAGTTGGAGGGGGGAACGGGGTGTTCTTGCAATCGTCGTCGTGGTTGTCTTGTGGTCGTGGTGATCGGTATTGGGTTTGTAGTTGTTGTTGTTGTTGTTGTTGTTGTTGTTGTTGTTGAACATTATTTCTTCTTAAGAATCATTATTGTTGGGACCCCTGGTGCATGGCCCCCCCGCCGCGCCTAGGCCGCAGCCTCATTTTCATCATTTTCGTGAGGAAGTCTCAGGCAAAACGATGTGTACCAGATCCGGTTGTGTTGTTACGATCGGTTTTCCCTTGCAAAAAAATAAGCTAAAGTGGACATTTCTTGTTCGAACATAACCAAACTTCAAGAATCCCTTGCAACAAATAAGGTAAAGTGGACATTCGCGCGCGCGCAAGACGAAATCCTTCCAAAACCTTAGTTTTCGTAACGCTTTTAACATAAAAACATAAAAAAAACCAATGGTTTTTCAAAAAAAAATGTCAAAATTTCATCCCGCGCGCTCTTGCGGATTCGTAGGAAACCCAACACTTTTTAATCATTTCTGTCAAACGGGCTTTTGCGAGCAACTTTTTCGAACTTCTGCAACAACGGTTGCGCACCTGCCAGGGCCATCATCCCTGTCAAATAATACCATGCGGGACACATTCGTTTTTTCTTCGCGCGCGCACGCCGTCGTCGTCGGCCGCGGGGCCCTGAATAGTAGCCACGGTCGTCCGCATGCCACGAAGTGAAGTGTCCGAACGTCATAGGGCGGGAAGCTGGGTGTGGGTGGTGGCGAAGAGTCGTTTGGAAATTTGGTAGAGCTTGAACCGGCCCCCCCACAAAGTGGGGGTATTGCCCGCCTCCTATGAAAACCCTGGCACTGGTGAGAACGGAGTGTCCCCACGTGCTAGTAATTGTTGTTGTGTTGTTGTTGTTGTTGTTGTTGTTGTTGTTGTTGTTGTTGTTGTTGTAGTAGTAGTAGTTGTGTGCTACTGCTGTGTTGTTTGTTGTTGCTTGTTGTTGTTGTTGGTGTTGTTGTGTTGTTGTTGTTGTTGTTGTTGTTGTTGTTGTTGTTGTTGTTGTTGTTGAAACATTATTACTTCTAAAGAATAATTATTGTTGGGACCCCTGGTGCACGACCCCCCCGCCGCGCCTAGGCCGCAGCCACATTTTCATCATTTTCGTGAGGAAGTCTCAGGCAAAACGGGTTGGTCCGGATCCGGTTGTGTTGTTACGATCGGTTTTCCCTTGCAAAAAATAAGCTAAAGTGGACATTTCTTGTTCTAACATAACCAAACTTCAAGAATCCCTTGCAAAAAATAAGGTAAAGTGGACATTCGCGCGCGCAAGACGAAATCCTTCCAAAACCTTAGTTTTCGTAGCGATTTTAACATAAAAACATCAAAAAACCAATGGTTTTTCAAAAAAAAAATGTCAAAATTTCATCCCGCGCGCTCTTGCGGATTCGTAGGAAACCCAACACTTTTTAAACATTTCTGTCAAACGGGCTTTTGCGAGCAACTTTTTCGAACTTCTGCAACAACGGTTGCGCACCTGCCAGGGCCATCATCCCTGTCAAATAATACCATGCGGGACACATTCGTTTTTTCTTCGCGCGCGCACGCCGTCGTCGTCGGCCGCGGGGCCCTGAATAGTAGCCACGGTCGTCCGCATGCCACGAAGTGAAGTGTCCGAACGTCATAGGGCGGGAAGCTGGGTGTGGGTGGTGGCGAAGAGTCGTTTGGAAATTTGGTAGAGCTTGAACCGGCCCCCCCACAAAGTGGGGGTATTGCCCGCCTCCTATGAAAACCCTGGCACTGGTGAGAACGGAGTGTCCCCACGTGCTAGTAATTGTTGTTGTTGTTGTTGTTGTTGTTGTTGTTGCTGCTGCTGCTGCTGCTGCTGCTGTTGTTGTTGTTGTTGTTGTTGTTGTTGTTGAATTCTCATTTCTGAAGAATAATTATTGTTGATCCCCCCCACCGGTGCATACTGCTTTTTCTCAATCAAAATGTGCCCCTCGACGCTCGCACCCTGTTTTTTGACAGGGAGAGTCTTCCTGCTCAAACTGGCCCCCTGGCCCCCGGGTTACAACAACAACGGCTCCCGCCAGAGACTTCCTGACAATTTAGCCAGGACCCCCACTCCCGCCCGAGACCTCCTCGCATTTTACTCAGGAATCGCGCTCTCGCTTGGGACGTCCTTACAATTTATTCAGGCATCGCTCTCCCGGCGCTCTGGAGTCGCGCTCTCGCTTGAGACTTGCTTGCAACTTACTGAAGAATGGCCTTGCGTTGGAATTTCCTGCAAT